TGAGTAGCTGATGTACAAGATTCCTGAATAAACTGCTTGAAGAAGAGTCGTGGTCATGTTTCTATTGCTGGTGGAGATAGACTCGACAAATCTTCTTAGGTTTCATTGTTGTTCTTTCACAGTCAAAAAAAAATTAGCAAAACAGTAAAATAGCAAGTATTTATATACACAATCTAATTGTGGGTTGGGATATTAGTGAATAAATTAGGCACAAAATGTCTTAATTTTGTATGTTAGAAAGTAATGAAGTACTTCTAATTTCTTATAGGCTTTGTGAGTCAAACAAGTTCACCTACAAAGTTATCAGAAAGATGTTCAGGTGTATATAGGCAATTTGAGTGAATCACATAGTTAATCTTAATTTCCAGAAAACAAATTAATAAAGACTTTATAATGGAATAAATGAATCATAATCAGAATTGTTGGAGGTCACTTAACATATCTTGAATTAACTTCTAGGTTTCTTTATTGGTCTTCTAATTCCTTTTCTATATTATGCAACAAGCATGAAATTAGATAAGAAAAATATCTTTACTTGACAGATTGTCACAGATCTTGAGTTTGATCTACAAATAAATACACATTTATTTAAATCCCAAGGAAGTATTTTAGGCAGACTATTAAAATAATATAGTAGTGTTTCTTTCAGCTATAACCAAGACTTTGTAAATAATTAGTAGGTTGACCATTTAGAGCTGGATTTTTTAACTTGAGTGATTTTACTTTATATAATACAAATTATTACCTATTAGATTAAAAATATGACTTCAAACTTAAGTAAATCTAAAGCACCATCACTTATTATTAAATATATAAAATTAAAAGTATGTATACATAAATGCTCCTTTATAAAAATGAAAAAGGGAAGAGTAAAGGTCCTTGAGAGAAATGGAGGTTTTCTAACCCTGGGTATATGGAGCTTATAGAGCTAAGATGCCAGACAAAACAAGGCTCACCAGAGCCACCATTATCCAATGGCTGCTGAGCCCTTTGTCTTATAAAATCACAGAAATAACTTACTAGGAAAGAATCTTTACTATAAGTGATAGTTTTATGTGAACCAGGCAATCTCAATAGAGCTATCCTCTATTGAGAAAATGACTCCATAAGATTTTGTGGTTCTGATTAGTTGGTGTTGAAGAACTGACTGTAATTAACAAGATACCAGAACTACTAATGTAAAACCATTGCTTTACCAGGACAATTGGTGCTGGTCAACTGGAGCTAAATTAGTGATGATTTATAAAATGTCAACATTATAGAAATGAAATCTGGAAAGTTTTCCCAGTGTTAGCACACAGAGCTATATTCCAGAGGTGGCCAAGATTGTACCTCACAATGGCAACCAGGCTTGATAGTAAAAGAATCTCCCAGGTGGTACTGGTTACAAAGCCATGAAGGTGACATGAAAAACAGATCGGCAATATAAGGGGCCAGAATAGGCCATCAAAGAATGTACAGTCTCACTAGCAGGTGAGGCCCCAGAAATGAAGGGGTCATGGAAAAACTTTGAGGCTTGGCAACTTGAAAATGGCCAGGAGAGGCTATTGGTGAAAGGGCATTTCAGTTGTAGCAGACGTTCCAGCATTTTGGAGATAGTAGTACCATGAGATTACCACCAGGTGCAGCAGCAGTGGTGCAGTGGAGACTTCCAAGATGAGAAGACAAGCTGTGTTCTACAAATGGTGAAGCACAGAAGTTAAAAAAGTATGGCAGAGGAACCTCAAAATAGTGAGTAGATCCCAGACATTGAGCATTGAATTTTTGCACAGTTGGTGGTGAATTTTGCTTAGATTTGATTATGATAGTATCCTGGTTATTCTTTTGTGAATTAAGAAATCTTATTTTGGTTTCACAGAAGCACAAAGCTAATAGAATTTGAATTTTTAATGATATTTTGAAACTTTACAAAGACTGAATTTTCAAAAGCACTGATTATTTTTAGAGACTATTTTTAAAGGACTGATTTTTTAATGGTTTAAATTTTTAGAGAATGTGATTTTAGAAATTTTGAATGTTATATTGTAATATTGACTCATGATATTGGGAATGATTAAGAAATGAAAAGTTAGCCAGGTGGTGGTGACTCATGCTTTTAATCCCAGCACTCAGGAGGCAGAGGATGAGGCAGGAAGGCCTCTGTGAGTTCAAGACCAACCTGGTCTACAAGAGGTAGTTCCCAGACAGCATTTAACAGAGAAACCCTGTCTCAACAAAACAAAACAAAAAAAGAGCTGAAAAATTGTGGCTTAACAGTATACATTTGTATGTCAAATTGACAAGGGATCAATTGTGCTAGCTACTTTTATGTCATCTTGACACAAATTAGAGTATTATAACAGGAGGAAACTTCAATAGAAAAAATAATGTCTCCATTAGATCTGGCTATAGATCATTTTCCTAACTCTTTATGGGGTAGTCACCAAGCCCATTGTGGGTAGTGCCAACCTTGGGGTGATGCTCCCGGGTTCTATAAGAAAGCATCCTGAGGTTATCACATCCACCCCTGGTATTCTGTTAGTGATGCTTTTGTCTGTGGTTCCTGTTCACTTACCTAGACTTTTACATTTCCAGAATTTCCGCAATTTGTGTTTTCTTTACTGCATTTTTTCCCATTTTGAGGTCTTAAATGCTTTTATTCATTTACTTCAAATGTTTATTTTTCTTGGCTTTCTTGAATGCTACAAATTGAACATATGGTAGAAATAAATAGATACATGGGTTAAAAAAATATTAATTCTAAAAGATGATTGGCATAAAACATCAGGAAATCTGGTACACTATGAAAAGTACAAACACCAAAGCAATAGTCAAAAAAGAAGTAAAAAAAAATCTAAGTTCAACAGCCCAGAATATACTTTTTAACAAAATCATAGAAGAAAAACTTTCTACACTAAAGAAGAACATACCTCTAAGGTAAACGAAATTTACAGACCAAATAGATTGAGCAAGAAAAAAAAGTAACATTACCACATAATAATGTTACTTCAAACCTGGTGTAGCCATGCTAATACTAAACACAATAGACTTCAAACCAAAATTAATCAAAATAGATATGGGATGACACTTTATACTCATCAAAGGAAAAAATCCATCAAAATGACATTTCTATTCTTAATATTTATGCCCCATATCCAAGAACAACACAATTGTAAAAGAAACATTACTGAAGCAAAAATCATGTATCAAACCTGACACATTAATAGTGAGAGACTGAAGACAGTGCTCTCACTAATGAGCAGATCATCCAAACAAAACTAAAAAAGGAAATTATGGAACTAATGGACATTGTGAACCAAATGGACTTAACATATCCACAGATTATCTTATAAATAAAACAAAAAATAAACCTTCTCAGAGCCTCACAGAACTTTCTCCAAAATTGATCACATACTCAGTCACAAAGCAAGTCTCAACAGATACATGAAAATTGAAATAACTTCCGGGATCCTATCAGACAGCCATGGATTAAAGCCAGATTTCATCAACAATGGAAACAAGCCTACCTACCAAAAGACCTGAGCAACTCTATACTTCATGACTACTGGATCATGGAAGAAAGAAAGAAAGAAATTAAAAACTTCCTAGAATTCAATGTAAGTAATTGCACAGCACATCAAAACTTTTGGCACACAATGGAAACAATGCAAAGAAGAAAATTCATAGTGCTAAGTGCATTCATAAAGAAATAGCAGAGATTCCATACTAGCAAATTAATGGCACACCTGTAAACTCTAGCACAAAAAGACACAAACACACTGAAGTAAAGTAAACAACAGCAAATAATCAAACCAAGGGCTGAAATCAATAAATACAAGAAACAGAACAATGCAAAGAATCAATGAAAAAATGAGGTGGTTCTTTGGGAAAATCAACAAGATAAGAAAACCTTTATCCAAACTAACTTAAAGACAGATACAGAATATCCAAATTAATAAAAGGGAGACATAACAGCAGACAAAAAGGAATTCCAATGAATCATTAGGTCATACTTCAAAAACATGTACTCTACAAAATTTGAAAGTCTAAAATAAATGGACAATTTTTTTCATAGATTTAATTGAGGTTAAGTCAGTATCAAACAAACAATTTAAATAGACCTTTATCCCCTAAGGAAACAAAAAGTCCAATGCCAGATGGCTTTAGTTCAGAATTCCATCAGATTTTCAAAGAGCTAATGCCCATACTCCTTAAATTTTCACACAAAAAAAGAAACAGAAGGAAGATTGCCAAATTCATTTTATAGGACCATAGTCACCCCAATACTCAAAACACACAAAGATTCAACAAAGAAAGTAAATCTCAGATCAATTTTTCTTCTTGAAACTAGATACACAAATACTCAATACTTGCAAACTGAATCCAAGAACAAATCAGAAAGATCACCCACCATAATCAAGTAGGCTTCATCCTAGAGAGGCAGGGATGGTTCAAAATACAAAAATCTGTCAATGTAATCCCCATATAACCAAACAGAAAGAAAAACAACACATTTTCATCTCATTAGGTGCTGAAAATACCTTTGATACAAGCCAACACCCTTTCATGGTAAGTCTTAGAAAAATAGGGATTAAAGGGACAAACCTAGACATAATGAAGGCATTTTACAGCAGGCTTTAGACAACATAAAATTTTTAAATGGAGAGAAACTCAAAGGAACTCCATTAAAATCTTGAACAAGGAAATAATTTCTATTCTCTCCATATCTATATAATATAGTACTTGAAGTTCTAGCTAGAGAAACAAGACAACTAAATGAAATCAAGGGGATACAAATTTGAAAGGAAGAAGTTAAAGTATCCATATTCGCAGATGATATGATGGTATACATGAGACCCCAAAATATCACAGGTACTCACAGATACTGAATTGACAATCATAGACCTGTATAGGTCTGACTTAGGTCCTCTGCATATATGCTACAGTTCTGGAACTTGGTATTTGTCTTAGGGTTATATTGCTGTGAAGAGACACCATGACTACAGTAACTCTTCAAAAGGAAAACATTTGATTTTGGCTAACTTTCAGTGTCAGCAGTTTAGTCAGTTATCATCATGGCAGGACAAGGAGGCATGCAGGTAGACATGCTGCTGGACAAGGAACTGAGAGTTCTACATAATGATCTATAGGCAGCAGAGACAACTTTGAGCCACACTGACATTAACTTGGATATAGGAGACCTCAATGACCACCCAAACAGTGACAGACTTCCTACATCATGCCACACCTACTCCAACAAAGCCACACCTCCTAATAGTGACAAGCCCTATAGGGCCCATTGTTGGAATAAACTTTTTGTAGACTGTGTAAAGATGTGTCTCTGACCTTCCTCACCTGCCTAAGGCACCTTCGGATTGGTTTAATGATGAGCTGAATACTCAATAGCTAGGTAGGAGAGGATAGGTGGGATTTCCAGGAAGAGATAGGAACTCTGGAATGATCTAAGGTGTAAGGGCTTCCATATTCTGGCCCTACTTGAGTTCCTGTCTTGGCTTCCTTAAGAGATAGACTATAATGTGAAAATGTAAACTAAATAAATCCTTTCCTCTCCAACATGCTTCTGTTAATAGTGTTTCATCACAGCAATAGCAACCCTGACTAACACTAAATAGAGCAAAAAAGAAGAGGTGCCCTATAAGAATAGGTACTGGACAGGCAATACGAGCACACCTGTAGTGTAGAAGGTTTAACAAGACTTGTGATATAAACTGAGAGGTGTGAATAGAGGAGCTGCTCAACCCCACTGTTCCATCGCACATATCTAGTTATCTGTCATTTGGGGTCTTGTTCATACACATACTGGCCAAGCAGTAATACTCATCTAGGTTGTACAAATGTAAAAGAAAGATAACGAGAATCAAGAGAAAGTAATAGAGACCCCATCTTAATTTCTGACTTCAAGATGGAAGAGAACCAAAGCTATTTCCAGACAAGGACAAGAATCAAGGTCCTTTTCTCAGCTCCTGAACATTTTGTATCTTCTGTTCACATCAAAACACCTTTTCTCATTTAACCAACATGATTGTATTGTGACTATTAAGCAATAAACAATATTCATTGAAATCAACTGCTATATGTCTACTTTTAATAAACATGTTTGGTGACTACTCAATGTCAACACTGTCAAAAATTGAAATACGACTTTCATGGAGTTGGAGATCAAACATGGAACCTTACATATGGCAAGCAAGCAATCTACTATTACAAATTCTTCATTTACAATTTTTAATTGTACCTTTCTAATATTGTTTACCTTGGAATGGTAGCAGTAGTGCATATGTATTTAGAAATCATTTCTCTTTTATTCTTCATTATCTATTTTGCTATGTTTTATCAACTCTCTAAATTTTATTGATCAATCCTCTTTATTCCTTTCTTTATACCAATTAATTTCCATCTGTATTCAACTAATATGATAATTATTAAAGAATATGCTGTTAAATTTCTCTGCACTTGGAAATAAATGGTCACAATTATGAAAGTGTTTCATAATAATTAAAGATATCAAATGATGCTTATAATCAAAACATTTTTCACATTTTTTATTAGTTAAAATTAGAAGCAAGCCTGCTTCACATGTCAATCCCTGCTCCGTCTTCCTCCCCTCCTATCCCACCTTCTGCTAACCACCCACCCCATCCCCACTCTGCTCTCCAGGGAGGGTAAGGCACTCCATGTGGGATCCCAAAAGTCTGTCATGTTCCTGAGCAGGGCCTAGGCCCTGGCCCATGTGTCCAGGATGAGAGACCATTGCTCCACATTGGATGGGCTCCCAAAGTCCTTTCTTACTCCAGCGATGAATACTGATCTACTACCAGAGGCCTCATAGAGTGCCAAGACCTCCTCACTGACATCCATGTTCAGGGGTCTGGATCAGTCCCATGCTGGCCTCCCAGACATCAGCCTGGAGTACATGCAGTCCCCCTTGCTCAGGATAGCTGTTTCTGTGGTTTTCTCCAGCCCAGTCTTAATCTCTTTGTTCATCACTCCTCCCTCTCTTCAACTGAGTTTCAGAGTTAGTTCAGTGTTTAGCTGTGGGTGTCTGGCTCTGCTTCCATAAGCCACTGGATGAAGGCTGTAGGAAGACATGTAAAGTAGTCATAAGTCTCACTACAGGGGAAGGACATTTAGGGTAGCCTCTCCACTATTGCTTAGATTGCCAGTTGGCGTAATCCTTGTAGATCTCTGGAAATCTCGCTAGTGCCAGATCTCTTCTCGAACCTATAATGGCTTCCTCTATTATGGTATCTCTCTTCCTGCTCTCCTCTACTCTTCCCTCGACTCAACCTTACTGTTCCTCTACCTCCTCCTCTCCCTCTCTCCGTGCTCCCTCTCCCCTAGCCCCATGCTCCCAATTAGCTCAGGACATCCTGTCCCCCTCCCCTTCTCTGGGGACCATGCATTCTTTTCTTGGAGTCCTCCTTGTTTCCTACTCAACCTTATATGGAAAAACAGAAAACCCCAGCATAGCCAAAACAACCCTGTACAGTAGGGGAACTTCTGGAGCCATCACCATCCCTGACTTCAAGCTTTAATATAGAGCCATAGTCCTGAGAACAGCCTGGTTTGGGCACAAAAGTAGACATCTAGACAAATGGAATCAAATTAAAGACTGATATTAACCCACACACCTATGGACACCTTGTTTTTGACAAAGAAGCTAAAGTTATACAATGGGAAAAAGAACGCATCTTTAACAAATTGTGATGGAATAACTGGATTTGGACATGTAGAAGATTGCAGATTGATCCATATCTATTGCCATGCACAAAACTTAAATCTAAATGGATCAAAGACCTGAACATAAATCCATCCACACTGAACCTTCTAGAAGAACGAATTGGTACAGGAGCCTGCTTCTTGAACATAACACCAGTAGCACAGACATTGAGATCTACAATTAATAAATGTGGCCTACTGTAACTGAGAAGCTTCTATAAGGCAAAGGACACAGTCAGCAAGGCGAAATGACAGTCTACAGAAAAAGATCTTCACTAACTCCACATCTGACAGAGGGCTGATATCCAAAATATACAATGAACTCAAGAAGCTAGCCACCAAAACATCAAACAAGGAAACTAAAAAGTAGGGTGCAGAACTAGAGAATCCTCAACAGAGGAATCTAAAATGGCTGAAAGACACTTAAACTGCTCAACATCGTTAGCCATCAGGGAAATGCAAATCAAAACAACTCTGAGATACCATCTTACTCCTGTCAGAATAACAAAAGTCAAAAACACCAAAGACAGTCTATGCTGGAGAGGATATAGAGAAAGGGGAACACTCCTCCATTGCTGGTGGGAGTGCAAACTTGTAAGACCACTTTGGAAATCACTATGGATGTTTCTCAGAAAAATGGAATCAGTCTACCTCAAATCCAGCAATTCATCTCTTGAGCATATACCCAAAGAATGCACATTCATACAACAAGGACAACTATGTTGATAGCAGCATTGTTTGTAATAGCCAGAGACTGGAAGCAAACCTAGATGCCCCTCAACTGAAGAATGGATAAAAAAATGTGGTACATTTATATAATGGGGTACTACTTAGCAGAAAAAAGCAATGGAATTTTGAAATTCTCAGACAAATGGATGGAACTAGAAGAAATCAACCTGAGTGAGGTAACCCAGTTACAAAAAGACAAACATGGTATGTACTCACTCATATATAAATTTTAGACATAGGGAAAATTATTAGCAGCCTACAACCCACATCGACAAAGGAACTATAATCAACATTTTACTAATAATAAAGAATATGCTGATCTTTCTCCATAGAATTTAACATAGAGCAGATATATTCATTATAGAAAAATCCTGATCTAAAGAAATATAGATGTTGCTAGCTTAGTGAATGGAGCCAAAGTCAGTTACTAGTTTGTATTAAACTATTTCAATGATGCTTAGAATAAACAGAAATCAATTTGATAAAGTAGAAAAGAATCTTTGACCTACACATAGTTGTCTTCATGTCTTTGAGTATTAAATAATTTTTGAAAAGTCCAAATTACTCAAAATCATTCTGTCTTGGAAACGATCAAGTAGAGGTCAGTTTGCCTGGACAAGGTAACAATAGAGAGGAAGTATAGAGGCTATCTCTGAGCTTGGTAAAAAGCAGTCAGAAAAGTCCAGGAAAGAACAGCTATAACACAGAAATGTGTAATAATTGAAAGACTGTCTCATAAGATTTCAAAACAATATTATAGTTTCCTTAAATTGTTTTGCTCATTCTCTGACTTGTGCTTTGCCTAATATTCTCTCTTGAGATCTTAAGAAGTGAATCAATCTGTTAAATTCTGGGAAAACAGCAAAAACAATCACAAAAGTCATAGATATTCTAAGTCTTAAAACCTTAAAATTTTACTTAAAAATATGTTTCTGTCCAATTTATTCATTGATTAAATGCCTAGCTTCTCAAGATTCAAAAAAGAAGATGTAACATGAAGTCCTTAGCACGAGGAAATTCAATTAATGAAAGTTTTCTAGGGCAATAAATATGGAAAAGGGAATAATAACTACAAAAAGCATGCAAGTGCATGAAAATAGATACAGAAAAATTCATGGGTGATGGGGAAGGAGAATCAGTTGATTCCCCAAACTGATTAAGGGATTAGGAAAAGAAGGTATGAAGACGGTTGCTGAGAATTGCAGTCTGAAAACCCCATGGGGATATAAATTTTGTTTGCTATCTCAAATTCCAAATCAATGTAAAAACACATTGATAAAATTCATTATCATCTATATTTTAAAAAGGGGAGATATATTATGTTCAAATACAACTAACAACAAATAAATAACAAAAAGAAAAAAAATATAATAAAGTTCAAACATATGACTACCAAAACTATTTTATTGATGTTTCTAGAATTTGCAGATCAAACACTTAATTACCTATCCTATTAAATTTGCAATAAAGTATAGAAGAATATGAAGTAAAAATAAATGACAAAATAAACAGTAATTATCCTGAAACTTTAAAACAATTGCTTAGTAATCTACTAAAGGGGATAGTTGCACTCATAAGCTCAGTATGGCAAGGGTTTGTGGTGGTCCAATGGCAGTAACAATACTTCATCTTCCTCAACTTAAAGGGTAACTAAAAACATGATCTCAAGAGCTTGAAAAGAACTGAAGACTTGAACAAAGATCATCTGGATAGCAGTTGTGGACATGGTGAAATGCAGTCACTGCAGAGATGGTAAGCAAGCAGGGATACAATGTGAAATAGCTTCTGTGACCTGACTCACTGCCTGCTCATTCCTCATGGAAGCACTCCCCTGGACAAAGCCCAATCAGAAGCTGGAATGTAGGACAATTTGCATGATGTAATGGTACAGGTCTGCCTTCTGTTTTGTTAAGACATCTGAGAAAGAATCAGAGAATGACAGAGATTAACCAGGACCCAAGACATAACAGACTTAGTTTTCTTTGATCTGCCATAGTGGATTTGTCATCTGTCAGCCTGATAGACTCAACTACATTTCCCAGGATTCTTGTTGTAGGTTTCCTGTTAGAGACATCCAAAAGAGATTTTTCTGGGGGGAATAGTGAAATATATGCTGAAGCTGAATGCTTAGGATTAGCAAAAACAGTAAGGTCCTTAGAATGGCTTCAAATCTCTGCAGCATATAAAATTCCATTCTTCAAATGTCCTAAGAAGGGAAGTGTAAAACTGAAGAAACAAAATGAGGGGTTTTAGATTGATGAGTAATAAGATCAGATAGCAAACAGACTAAAACTGAAAGAGAATGTGAAAAAATGAAAACAGAGGGTAGACACCCTGCTTCCAGCCTAGTTTTGAATAAAAGCCACACATGCTAGTAGTCACGGTTACTGCAGTGGACCCCACACACAAACTTCAGGAAAAGACTGAAGAGTCCTTTTGAGGCAAAATTGTATACATCATCAAAAGTACAAAATATTTGTCTGCTAAATTCAAAGGGCTGGCATTTGGAGTTTTGGTTCTTGGTTCTTCATTAGAAATTGATATGTTAAAGACTCAAGAATATAAAGAAAACTTTCATAATACAGACAAAATGTTTACTTGAGTATGACAGAAGAATTTAACAGTGCTGTGTATAAGAGGGAAGTAATTTACCTCCCCCTTGAAACTCAAAATTAATGTAGTCAGCTGTCCAATAACATCCCACATACTCTGTTCTCCTTCCTACTTCATCTTCCTTTCAGAGAGGAGCAGGGGAAAGTAGCATATCCCAGGAAGGGCACTGACCCCCACTCAGTGCCTTTCATCACTTAGCCATGCAATGTAAAGTACTGATATCCTCCTAACATTTCCAAATTTGAAAGACCCAAATTAGAGATAAATGGAAACTGTCTTTTTTTCATTCATTTATTTAGCTCATAAATAAAGTCATGCACAATTATGATACACAATACAGTATGTTCACAATGGCATGGCTAAATTAAACAATTAATATGCTATAACACATATTCATCATTTTTGTTTTGAGAACACTTAAAGTATACTATCTCATAACTTTTAAAATATAGCATATTGTTATCAACCATATTTATGATGCTCTCAGCAGACCTCAAGACTTCACAGAGTCAATGCCTCTTGTCCAACTGCAGTTTTATATCCTTAAGCTAATTGTTTCCCCATTGTTAAAAGAAGCCTAATAGCCACAATTCTGCTCTCTGTTTCCATAAGTTCATCATTTCTAGGTTACACATAAAATTGAAATTGTG